TCTTTGCGATTATAGATACTCCACTGATAAATATTGGCACGTCCCTCATTTTGAGAAAATGGTAATATTCTAGTTACCTCATTGAATACTTGTCATAAAAATGGTGCCTGATGAAGTTTAATGACACGAATTTTAGCTCTACGATCAGGCTCAATTGTTGATGAGTTATGTTGAAGCCTATGTTATCTCGAAAGACCATTATTACGCAAACGTAAGAATCATAAACACGATCCAGTTATTTAAGTTCTTTACCTCAGTATTTCACGTAAATAATTAAAAACAGGTAGCACGCGACATTATAAGGTATGTGGAAAGAGATTTGAGGGATACTGAAGGTGGTGGGTTCTTTTCCGCCGAGGATGCCGACTCTTATCCTTACGAAGACGCTGAACATAAACTTGGTGGGTTTTATCTCATCTGCAACTCATATTATGCATTAAGTCGTAATGGAAATGAGTACTATCTATCGGAGGTTACTATTCGAACTATTTCATTGTGATTGTTTTTAGAGGGTGCCTTTTGCGTATGGGAAGAATCTGAGATCAAAGAAATTTTGGGTGATAGAAATTCCGAAGTATTCAGCTGGCATTTTGGCGTGAAGTTAGAAGGAAACGTCGATCCTAGAAAGGATATTCAGGGAGAATTGAAAAAAAAAGTAAATCAGCTTCATTTTATAAGACACCTTCAGGTCAACACACGAGTTTACTTATATTAAACTTCTTCTCAGAATGTCTTGATTGAATCTCATACACTCGAAGAAACAGCAGATCACTTCAAGCTTTCTTTGGATGAATTAAATGAGATACTTTCAGAGTCAAAAGAAAAACTTTTAAAATTCAGATTCGAAAAAAGGCCAAGACCACATCGTGACGATAAAATCTTGACAGCTTGGAATGGTGAACATTCTTTTTTTCTTGGTTACACGTATTGCGTTAATTTCTAATTCTAAATTTCAATGATAGGGTTGATGATTTCTGGTCTTGCTCGAGCTTATGACGCGTTGCATGATGAGAAGTTTCGTGATTTAGCAGAAAAGGCAGCTAGTTTCATAAAAGAACGGATGTACGATAGGGACAGAAATATATTGCTGAGAAGTTTTAGGGAGGGTCCCAGTGATGTTGAAGGATTCTCCGACGACTACAGGTAACTGAATAGCACTTCGTAGACATTACATGCATTCTCAATCAACTAACCAAGTCAATTTTTTTTTAGCTTTCTGGTTGGAGGTATTATTTAAAAATGGAGTTAAAGCAAAGAAGCTATTTCATGATTCATTTCATGATTGCATTTTTACAGGCTTACTCGATCTTTATCAATCAACTTTTAACGAATCATACCTTGAATGGGCGATTGAATTACAAGAAAAGCAGGACCAATTGTTCTATGATGAAAACGGAGGTGGATATTTTAATGTTGGAGAAAACTCCAAAGATATATTAATCAGATTAAAGGATGGTGCGTTATTGATTTATTTGGAAACCGTCATGATACATTTGATAATAACTGTGAATTTTCGATTTTTAGCCCACGACGGTGCCGAACCTTCGGCGTAAGTTGATTTCAAATCTCAATGCAACGTTATTTATTTATTCGTTCGTTCGTTGCTAAAATAGTTCAATATCTGCATAGGAACTCGATTGCAGTTAGTAATTTAATTCGTCTCGGAAATATAGTTGATAATCCCGATTATAACCGACGAGCCGAGGAAACTTTGAGATTCTTCGCGGGAAGATTAAGTGACGCGCCATATTCAATGCCAGTTATGGTATCTAATTTGGTACTATATTTGAAGGGCGTCAAACAGGTACGAATCGTGATGAATTCCTTTGAAGCATTCTCCGATGAGAAGTGATTCAGTATATCCACTATTTATCTTTTGCTAGCTAATAATTTCTGGGCGCAAACAAGATACGAATGTTCAACAATTTCTTGACATAATTCGATCAAAATTTATTCCAAACATACTTCTCCTGTTAGCAAATCCAGAAGAGAGTTCCATGTTAAGGGAGAAGAATGAAACCATAAAAAGCATTTTGGATAGTGAGTCTGATGGTCTCATACCATCAGTTCATGTCTGTGAAAATTTCACATGCAGTAAGCCGATTAGTGATGTCAAAGAGCTGGAAGATAAGCTTAATGAGTAGATTTTCAAGAAGAATAATGTCATCTTGCAATTCACGTTGTTTCTTCGACGTCAATATTGGTACAACATGTTTAGTATTGTATATTGCGATTTTCAAATAAACTAATAAAATTTGAATTATTATTTATCGAAAATCTTATGTAAATGTTAAAATATGCGTAAAGAACAAAGTAATTGTTATTTTTATACTGATTTAGAACAAAAGGATTTCTTTTCCTTTTCCCTTACCTGATAAAAAAAATCAAATCATGAAAAGTAAAATTATGGTGTTTCAAAAGAGAAAAAATTCGACGCGCATTTTTTAATTGGAAACATGTAATTGAACCATAATCTTTAGTGTTGAAACTAAGGAGCGAATTAAAGACTTCGGTTTGGGATCCATGTTGTCGATTTATATGGTGATATATTAGAGGATTTACTAATGCTTATGATTCTTAAAAAAAACCAAAGGTTTAAATCTATGGTAGAAAGACATTTGAAAAATTCGTATTATTAGGTTTATTCTAATTTGTAATTAAACTATCTGAAATTAATTTTTTTAACGAAATTGCTAGATATTAATATAAAATAAAATAATGTTATGCAAAAGAATTAGTGGAATGGGAGTTCGTGATAAGAAGACTTGATAAATATGCACTAAAGTCCGTATCACTCGAAGGGAGGTGAATGGTTAAATCGAAACTTACCGTAACCTTTTAATAAGAGTAATGATGGATCATTACCTCGAAATAAACCACTCACCCGTGAGGCAGTTGCGCAAGGAAGGTTCATAACCAATCCCTCCCTCATCCGGGACCCGTAGACCTTGTTATCCACATCACGAACTCGACAAAAAAATAACGTAATGAATAAATAACACTTGTCTGTTTTTCCACGGCCGGAGAGATTAAGGTTAGGTAAGAGGCTTTTCACGATAGAGAAGATTTCGGTGCAGCAAAACGTTAGGAAAAATAAAAAGGTTTTTCGTCATAAATTATTTAGACAACGCGAAATTCACGATATATGGAAAAATAAGAATGCGCAATCCTAACGCCCAACACTAGGCGACTAATTGATGGGGAAAAATGTAATATAAGAATTAAGAATCGTCATCTCTTTTCAATTATAACAATTACATACATTACTCCACCTTTAATCTCAATTTTTTATAAAACATGTAAATTATTCTTCATGTTGGATAATAATTGACCTCTATGTTTATTATTTACACTTAAAAAGCCGTGCAAAAGACGCTTCTTGAAATTGAATAAATAGTTACTGTAGTCTTTACTATTTACAGTAAGTACAGTATATCGTATCCCATATAGGTTCAAGTCCCAAAGTCAGGTCAATATTTGAGCAAGATATTTCTGGCACCATTCCATCTCCGCCTCACATGAACCACATTGATCCATTGAAATCATTTTTTACGAATCCACAATTCCCACATGTCTTTGATATATACTCCTCAATGCATTTAATAATGACCTTGCAACATCTGAACTCCCTCAAACCTGAAATGCGACCAAGTTAGCATCGCACAAATAGTCTTTGACCAATATTATATCTTCGAAAACTCGAACATAGATAAAAAGAATGATCTTGTAATTTTGACATAACACTCTACCCAAAGCAAGATCTGTAATTTGTCTTATTTCTTAGATGATTACATCATCTTGGTTATCGATGATATCCAGATGATTCAAACCGTATTGTTGATATCTGGTGACCATTCTTCTCTCTGTTCCTATTCAAATCTTAGCAAGAATCGAGATGGTTTGTGTTCGATCCTTCTTTGACCGTATGACGTTCATATCGGTGATTCCATTGTCCTGCACCATCTCAAGAACCTTTTTCCATTCACTTTCTTGACTTTCCTCTTTCTTCGAGTGTTGGATAAATCCGTATCTTGCGCGTTTTGACTCTCTCTGTCTTTTCGGTTTCCAGCTGATTGCGTCTTGCCGTGAAGATAGTAATGATTGATAATAGGTTCTCGGCAAGCACACCGAATTCGGTGTCATCACGTTGACATCCGAACCGAGTACCAAGTTCTTTATACTGTTCTTGCCAAGAATCCATTTGACAAGCTCATACGCAAATCTACAGAATCACAACCTGAGGTAGTCGCATTGTTTGTCAAGGTCATCTCTTTCTGTTTCTCTGAGCCTGCTCTTGCGTAATGGATCTTTTTCTTTTCATTTATCCTTTCTTGATAAAATTTCATGTTTTTCTGATCTCTTGTGCTTCACATTCATTGCCATCAATAATTACTACTATTAAAGATAACAATCAGTAAAATAAATATATTTAATTATTAATATTGTATTGTTTACATATCATCCCGACCCAATCCTGTAATCCGTAAGCGTGTTACCCGCCCTTCAAGCCCCCTTAACCCGGGTATGATTCAATATAACAACTACATAGTAATTATTCTTTTTTTTATTACATAATTTTTTTTTAACAGGTAATTTGGGTCACGTGCCATATAATAACATTATCTCGTGATATTTATTGTACAAAGGGTTTGTCTCAATCAGACTTAGTTTAATTTACTATACATCATTTAAAGGAATATTATTGGCTTCTTCATTAACGATCTCAGGTCTTCCTCCCTGATTAAAATTCTCGACGCCAAACCTTCTCAGAAGTTCACCTTCTATTTTAGGATAAATTTCATCACTGGTACTTCCCGTAAAGGTAACCAACATATTACGTTTGGAATAGTATTCAAGCAAAGGCTCCGTTAATTCTCGATGCTTCTGAAGACGAATCTTAAATATCTCCTTGTTAATCAAACAAATGAGTTTTTGATTAGCTCACGACATCTTACTAAGTTCCTGAAGGTACGCGAACTTACGGCATTGTCGTCGGTTCTTTTCGACAGTTTTTCACCGGTAACATCGTCAAGACCGGGTCTCTTCGGAGGATTATAACTTAAGTTGTAGACACGTCCTGAAGGCACATGCACCCATCGGTCTACAATTATTTGTTTTTTTCACCTGTGATTATCCTTTTTTTTTTTTTGAAAATCGACGAAAATTACGTTATAAAAAAATTCATACCCATGATCCGTTGTAATATCACCTCTTCAGGCACTTGCAAGTTGATCACCAAATTCAAAGGTTGACCAGTCAAGGATAGATTATCATCCAGTGCTATGGCCTGATTAATGGTTCGTGGAAAGCCATCCAACAACCAATTCTATGATCACACACGGTATATAATTAAAAATCTCTTGATCATAATTGTTGCTTGATTTTCGCGTGGAAAACCTTACCTTTCGTTTGATGGTTCGAAGTTCATTGGTTATAAGTTCGATCATAATATTATCCGAAACATATGCTAATTTTGCACAAAGTGATTAGTTTTGTCGATCATTCCCATCTATAACTAACTCATCACTAAGGTTAAACTATCGCTTCCTTCTTAAATATTGAACTGGTTTTAGCCCTCACCTCCTCGTTCAATTTCTTTTGCCGCAAATTTCCCAATCTCTGTTCCATTTGCTATATTTCGTCGTAAAAGGTCACCGCTTGATATTGCAGCGACGTTAAAGTTTTTTTGTAAGCGAGAGGATTGGGTTCCTTTTCCGGAGCCCTTTGCAATTCAAAAAAATGATTGATTTCGACAATGAAAAATATTTAGACTCCTCATCATATTATTCACCTCGCATTTTCTCACTGCCAGACGTAAAATGATGACATACCGGACTTCCGAGTAGCAAAATACGCATCACCATGTTTCCCATGGTAGGTGAAGCATTTTTCACACAAGTAGACCCATGAAACTGCCTACCTAATCCTATCATAGTATGCTGCTTAAAAAAAATCGACTTGGACTGTCCGCCTCGTTGTGAACTCGATAGAACACGTGATGAACGAAGAAAATTAATTTTTATCGTCATATCCGTAACAATGGTCTTATTTTATTTCTTGTCTTTGAATTTTATTTACGAATAATAGCAGAATTAAGATCGTGGGTGTGAAAAGTGTGCGATAAATTGTACCAAGATACACGAAGTGAAAGTTTATATTAACCTAACAAACGGATCGATATTGTGCAAGATGGCTTGTTTATAGTTGGTTAATGTGCTGTATTATTGAGTATCACATGTAATTGTACCACTCACAGATTGGTATTTTATTCACGTACATCGTTATAGATTTGCTTTTTATTAAGCTTATTAGAAAGAAAACCTTAATTTTGAATTCTACATATTTGTGGCACACGAGTCCTCACCCGTTTTTTATTGCAGCGAGTTTCTAGAATAGGTTATGCGGCCATCCACATGATCATACGACCCCAGTATTACGAGATTAAAAACGCCAACGCAATATAGTAATGATCTTATTAATTAATAAATTATATAATATATATTGTATCAATTTAATTGGTTTAAAAATTCTTTATATACAGTTTAGTATTGTAATTACGATTACTTTTTAAAATTATTTGAATATATTGTATATCAAGTAATACACTTTTTTCAATTTTATATTTTATATTATAATTTTATAAAAAAATTATTAAAATTTCAAAAAATAATCTATTTAATTATCTTTTAAAATTTAAGATAAAATAAAATAAATTTTAGTAAAAAAAATTTAAAATTATTATAATAATTATATTTATAAGAAATTTTTATAAAATTACTGGTATTTTATAAAATAGGCTTAATGAATTTTTTTATATTAAAAAATTAAAAATTAATATTTAAAATAAGATTTAAAAATTTTCTTATTCTATTATTAAAATCAAAAACAATAAAAAAATTATTTTAACTTTTTTCAACTTTTTTAAAAAACAAGTAAAAATTAATTTTATCATTTTAACTTTAAAATTAAATATCTAACAATACAAAAATTTATATTTATTGAACTTACTAAAGGGTTATTTATACTTAAAAAATATTTGATTAGTATTATTATATTTTGTTATAAAATAATCAATATTTCTAATAAATATATAAAAAGATTTCAAATAACAAATATAATATCTTATTATATTTAAAATCAGATATTCTTTCAATCTAAAAATTTCTTTATTACTTATATCTTAAATAATATAAAGATCTATATTGTTTTAAATATAGTTTCTAGTTTAAAAACATGTTTTATATTTTTAGTTACCTTTTAGCAAAAAAAAAAAATCAAGCAAATAATAGATTTTGTTAGTCTTATACTTTATTTAAATAATAGTACTTAATCATTATTAGATATATAACAAACAATAAAACTAGTTTATAGAATTATAATTAATATTTTCTTTATTTTCAATATTTATAATTAAATCAGAATATTTATTGAAACTCTTGTATTATAATACAATTTTAATTTTACTTAAAAATCTTAATATAATATAATAAATATTTTACTTTTTACTAGTATTAAATAAAAAAAAATCTCAAAATAATAATAATATAATATTAATAAAAACTATATATGTGTTCATATATTTTATTTAATAATTTTATCATAATATGATTTTTGAAAAATAGTTGAATTCAAAACTCTTTCTCACTTCCCTTCTTGTGCTTGAAAATTTTCTTTTTAGGAAACTTTTTGAGTTGTTTATTTTTTTTTTATTTTTTCCCTTTCCCTTTTTCTTTTGGCCACAAGTCTTTTATCTCCCATCTCTCTTCTTCTTTCCTACTCTTTTTTATACACTTTTTTTTTAATCATTTCTCCTTTCTCTTTCTTTTTTCCCTTTTCCTGTCAAAGTTAGATTTTTTTTAAGCAGCATACTATGATAGGATTAGGTAGGCAGTTTCATGGGTCTACTTGTGCGAAAAATGCTTCACCTACCATGGGAAACATGGCGATGCGTATTTTGCTACTCGGAAGTCCGGTATGTCATCATTTTACGTCTGACAATGAGAAAATGCGAGATGAATAATATGATGGAGGAGGCTGAAATATTTTTCATGGTCGAAATCAATAATTTTTTTGAATTGCAAAGGGCTCTGGAAAAGGAACCCAATCCTCTCGCTTACAAAAAAACTTTAACCTCGGTGCGATATCAAGCGGTGACCTTTTACGACGAAATATAGCAAATGGAACAGAGATTGGGAAATTTGCGGCGAAAGAAATTGAACGAGGAGGTAAGGACTAAAACAGTTCAATATTTAAGAAGGAAGCGATAGTATAACCTTAGTGATGAGTTGGTTATAGATGGGAATGATCGACGAAGCTAATCACTTTGTGCAAAATTAGCATATGTCTCGGATAATATTATGATCGAACTTATAACCAATGAACTTCGAACCATCAAACGAAAGGTAAGGTTTTCCACGCGAAAATCAAGCAACAATTATGAGAAAGTGATTTCAATTATATACCGTGTGTGATCATAGAATTGGTTGTTGGATGGCTTTCCACGAACCATTAATCAGGCCATTGCACTGGATGATAATCTGTCCTTGACTGGTCAACCTTTGAATTTGGTGATCAATTTGCAAGTGCCTGAAGAGGTGATATTACAACGGATCATGGGTATGAATTTTTTATAACATGTAATTTCGTCGAATTTCAATAGAAAAGGATAATCACGGCAAAAAAAAACAAATAATTATAGACCGATGGGTGCATGTGCCTTCAGGACGTGTTTACAACTTAAGTTATAATCCTCCGAAGAGACCCGGTCTTGACGATGTTACCGGTGAAAAATTGTCGAAAAGAACCGACGACAATGCCGTAAGTTCGCATACCTTCAGGAACTTAGTAAGATGTCGTGAGCTAATGAAAAACTCATTTGTTTGACTATTAAGGAGATATTTAAGATTCGCCTTCAGAAGCATCGAGAATTAACGGAGCCTTTGCTTGAGTACTATTCCAAACGTAATATGTTGGTTACCTTTACGGGAAGTACCAGTGATGAAATTTATCCTAAAATAGAAGGCGAACTTCTGAGAAGGTTTGGCGTCGAAAATTTTAATCAGGGAAGAAGACCTGAGATCGTTAACGAAGAAGCCAATAATATTCCTTTAAATGATGTAAATTAGAGCAATCGAACCAAGTCTGATTGAGACAAACCCTTTGTACAATAAATATCACGAGATAATGTTATTATATGACACGTGACACATAACTTACTTGTTAAAAAAAAACTTATGTAATAAAAAAACCGAATAATTACATCATTGTCACTACTATGTAGTTATATTAAATCATACCCGGGTTAAGGGGGCTTGAAGGGCGGGCGGGTAACACGCTTACGGATTACAGGCTTTGGTCGGGATGATATGCAAACAATACAATATTAATAATTAAATATATTTATTTTACTGATTGTTATTTTTAATAGTACAGTAGTGATTATTTTATATTACATGTTTATTGATGGCAACGAATGTGAAGCAACGTGTGAAGCAACGAAAGGACAAATGAAAAGAAAAAGATCCATTACGCAAGAGCTAGCTCAGAGAAAGAAAGGACCTTGAAGACAATGTGAGTAACTCAGTCAGAAATATACAGACCGTGAACTCATCAGAGACATCGGGTCAGGTCTCAACTGGAAACGCAAGTGCTTCACATCCATTTTGGAATGATTTTACCGAGGGGGATGTCGAAAAGGTTGTGGTTACCAGGAAGGATCGGTTATGTAGATTTGCGTGTGAGCTTGTCAAATAGATTCTTGGCAAGAACAGTAGTTCGGATGTCAACGTTATGACACCGAATTCGGTGAGCTTGCCGAGAGCCTATTATCAATCATTACTATCTTCACGGCAAGACGCAATAGGCTCAGATCAGCTGGAAACCGAAAAAGACAAAGAGAGAGTAAAAACACATAAGATACGGATTTACCCAACGCTCGAAGAAAGAGAAAAGCAAAGAAAGTGGATGGAAACGTACAAGGTTCTTAAGATGGTGCAGGACGATGGAATCACCGACATGAACGTCATACGATCAAAGAAGGGATTTGAATAGGAACAGAGAGAAATACGCGTTCCTAATAAATATTATATCAACAATCGGTTAACATAACTATGAATCATCTAGGACATTTTTACTTGTGTATTTCCATTTCTTTGAATACCCATCGATAACCAAGATGATGTTCGGGGAAAGATAATCTCGATTCAGGTGTTCGCACATTTATGACCGGTTACGAATGGGGGTAACAGTGATTTTAATAAAAATTTTAAATATTATCTAAGAAATAAGACAAATTACAGACCTTGCTTTGGGTAGAACAAACAAAAGAAAGAGATTCCGATTGAGAAAAAGATGATATAATCATACAACGAATCCATAATTTAATCTATGAATGCCATCATCGCTGGCCTGTTGGTTATGTCAAAATTACAAGATCATTCTTTTACCTATGTTCGATGCTAACTTGGTCGCATTCAGGCTTCGGATGTTCTTACATCATAAGTTGAGGGAGTTCAGATGTTACAAGGTCACTATTAAATGCACCGAAAAGTATATATCAAAGACATGTGGGAATTGTGGACTCGTAAAAAATGATTTCAGTGAATCAAAACGTTTAATGTGATTCATGTGAGGTGATGAATCGGGACGCAAATGGTGGCAGAAATATCTTGCTCAAATATTTAACGGAGGGTCAGGTTTTGACCTGACTTTGGGACTTGAACCTATATGGGATACGATATAATAATAAAGACTAACTATTTATAATTGTTATCGAACATGAAGAATAATTCTCGCCGAAAAGTCTAAGCACAGCACACAAATTATGTATGTAATTGTTATAGTTGAAAAGAGATAACGATTCTTACGTTGCATTTTTCCCATCAATTAGTCGCCTAGTGTTGGGCGTTAGGGTTACCACGAGAAAATGAAACCTTCACGTGTATAAATATGCCTGTATATGAATGGTGAATTTCGCGTTGTCTCTTCACCTCACCTCTAAATAATATTATGACGAAAAACCTTTTTATTTTTCTTACCGTTTTGCCGAACCGAAATCTTCTCTATCGTGAAAAGTCTCTTACCTATAACCTTTTATTAAATTGAAATCTCTCCCGCCGTGGAAAAACAGACAAATGCTATTTATTCATTACGTTATGTTTTTTGTCGAGTCCGTGATGTGGATAACAAGGTTTGCTGGTCCAGGATGAGGGAGGGATTGGTTATGTCGCAACCTCACGGGCGAGTGATAGAAGCTTGTATCCTATCGTTTGTTGAACCCTAGAGATGGTAGTAGCTTATTTCGAGGTAATGATCTATTACTCTTATTAAAAATTTACGGTAAGTTTCGATGATGCGTGCTTCGATTTAACTATACACCTCCCTTCGAGTGATACGGGCTTTAGTGCATATCAAGTCTACTTATTACGAACTCCCATTTCACTAATTCTTTTTTTTATAATCGCTGCGAAACTTTCTACAGTATTATTTTCATTTTATATTAATATCTAGCAGTCTAAATTTAAGATAGTTATAATTACAAATTAAAATAAACTTAATGATTAAATACTGTATGTCTTTCTAAGTAATATCGTCATATAAACCGACAACATAGATGTCCCAAATCGATGTCTTTAATTCTTCCCTTATTTCAACACTAAAGATTATACCGCGTTTCCAATTAAAAAATGCGCGTCGAATTTTTATCTTTTGAAACATTATAATTTTACTTTTCATGATTTGATTTTTTCAGTATAAAAAAATAATTACTTTGTTTTTTATGCATATTTTAAACATTACGTAAGGCTTTCGATAAATTATAATTCAAGTTTATTTGAAAACGCAATATTCAACTGTTTTACACAATACTAAACTTATTGTACCAACATTGATGTCGAAGAAACAAGGTGAATTGCAAGATAATATTATCATTCTTCTTGAAAGTCTACTCATTAAGCTTATCTTCCAGCTCTTTGACATCACTAATCGGCTTACTGCATGTGAAATTTTCACAGACATGAACTGACGGTATGAGACCACCAGACTCACTATCCAATATGCTTTTTATGGTTTCATTCTTCTCCCTTAACATGGAACTTTCTTCTGGATTTGCTAACAGGAGGAGTATGTTTGGAATAAATTTTGATCGAATTATGTCAAGAAATTGTTGAACATTCGTGTCTTGTTTGCGCCCAGTAATTATTAGCTAGCAAAGATAAATAGTGGTTATGCCGAATCACTGAAAATACATCAAAGCATCATCACGATTCATACCTGTTTGACGCCCTTCAAATATAGTACCAAATTAGATACCATTACTGGCATTGAATATGGCGTGTCACTTAATCTTCCCGCGAAGAATCTCAAAGTCTCCTCGGCTCGACGGTTATAATCGGGATTATCAATCATATTTCCGAGACGAATTAAATTACTAACTGCAATAGAGTTCCTATGCAAATATTGAAACTATTTTAGCAACGAACAAATAAATAAATAACGTTGCATTGAGATTTGAAATCAACTTACGCCGAAGGTTCGGCACCGTCGTGGGCTAACAATCGAAAATTCATAATAGTTATTATCAAATGTATCATGACGGTTACCAAATAAATCAATTACGCACCATCCTTTAACCTAATCAATATATCTTTGGAGTTTTCTCCAACATTAAAATATCCACCACCTTTTTCATCATAGAACAGTTGATCCTGCTTTTCTTGTAACTCAATCGCCCATTCAAGGTATGATTCGTTAAAAGTTGATTGATAAAGATCGAGTAAGCCTGTAAAAATGCAACCATGCAATGAATCATGCAATAGCTTCTTTGCTTTACATCATTTTTAAACAATACCTCCGATGAGAAAGCTAAAAAAAATAGTTTTGATTAGTTGATTGGGATTGTATTTAATGTCTACGAAGTGCTATTCAGTTACCTGTAGTCGTCGGAGAATCCTTCAACGTCACTGGGACCCTCCCTAAAACTTCTCAGTAATATTTTTCTTTCCCTGTCATACATTCGTTCTTTTATGAAACTAGCAGCCTTTTCCGCTAAATCACGAATCTTCTCATCATGTAACGCGTCATAAGCTCGAGCAAGACCAGAAATCATCAAGCCTATCATTGAAATTTAGAATTAGAAAATTTAACGCAATACATGTAATCAAGAAAACAAGAATGTTCACCATTCCAAGCTGTCAAGATTTTATCGTCACGATGTGGTCTTGGCCTTTTTTCGAATCTGAATTTTAAAAGTTTTTCTTTTGACTCTGAAAGCATCTCATTCAATTCATCCAAAGAAAGCTTGAAGTGATCTGCAGTTTCTTCGAGTGTATGAGATTCAATCAAGACATTCTGAGATGAAGTTTAATATAAGTAAACTCGTGTGTTGACCTGAGGGTGTCTTATAAAATGAGATTGGTTTACTTTTTTTTTCAATTCTCCCTGAATATCTTTTCTAGGATCGACGTTTCCGTCTGATTTCACGCCAAAATGCCAGTTGAATATTTCGGAATTTCTATCACCCAAAATTTCTTTAATCTCAGATTCTTCCCATACGCAAAAGGCGCCCTCTAAAAAACAATCACAATGAAATAGTTCGAATAATAACCATCGATGGATAGTACTCATTTCCATTACGACTTGATGCAAAATATGAATTGCATATGAGATAAAACCCACCAAGTTTATGTTCAGCGCCTTCGTTAGGATAAGAGTCAGCATCCTCGGCGGAAAAGAATCCACCACCTTCAGCATCCCTCAAATCTCTTTCCACATACTTTATAATGTCGCGCGCTACCTGTTTTAATTATTTATGTGAAATGCTGAAGTAAAAAAAACTTAAACAATTGGATAGTGGTTTATGTTTCTTACGTTTGCATAATAATGATCTTTCGAGATAATATATGCTTCAACATAACTCATCAACAATTGAGCCTGATCGTAGAGCTAAAATTCGAGTCATCAAACTTCATCAGGCACCATTTTCGTGACAAGTATTCAATGAGTAACTAGAATATTACCATTTTCTCAAAATGAGGGACGTGCCAATATTTATCAGTGGAGTATCTATAATCGCAAAGA